TGTTCTTGTGCCTCTATGTGGTGGGAGGCATCGGTCAGGTAGGGAACCTCACTGGAAAGTTCCATAGGTAAGTCTCTTTGAGTTCAAAGAAAACCTGACTTCAAATGAACTCTTACCTGACAGCACTATTTGCTTCTGCAGGGAAGTTAATTGCATACGTCAGAGAGAGAACCAAGATGGCGGCCTAGGGAAGCCCCTGAGCTGCCCCCTCGCACAACAATTTCAAAAACAACGACTAGAATCAGAACAGACGTCATCCAAAAAAACACAGGAGAGCTGGCGGAGTGGGGAATCTACAACTAGAGAGGAGAGAGGCTCACGGCTCCGACTGGGAGCTGCAACGCGCAGAGAGGAAGTGCGGCCCAATGCCTGGCTGGGGGAGGGGAAGGGAATTCCCGACTGCACTGAACCCCAACCCGGGCCGAAACCCGGGCCGAAACCCCGAGGACCCAGGCTCTTACGGGTGGAGTCTGGGATGTAGAGAAAAGCACCCAGGGACTCAGAGACTGGGAGACGGGGAGCCGCAGCCGCAGCGGGCAGGGTCTACAGTCCCGCGCGAGTCAGAAGGAGTCAGAAGCTCCAGACTACAGGGACCCGACCCAACCCAACTCCGGGCGAGCCCCTGGGGCACCCACGCCCTTGCACCGGGAATCTGGGCGGTCAGGCGGAAACTCAGGGGAGCGCACAAGGGCAGGGCTGACGGGAAGACTGTCAGCTCAGCCCTGAGACTCTGCCCCATCCAGAGCACAGAGGCTTCTGCAATTTTGCAAGTCTGATCCTACAAGACTGTCTCCAATACAGAAGGTATCCCAGAGTAGACACAGCTGATACCCACATCCAATTGGCCTGAAGGTCAGTTCCTCCCAGGGATACCAACAACAATATAGACTTAGCGACAACAAGGCTGTACACGCAGTCCACAAAGGGGAGCACCAGGAGTGTCTACCTCAGCTAACTGAGGAGGCTAACCCACTGGGCCACATAGGGCACCAAACACACAAAGCCATCCTACCAACTCTGGGAAGCAGCGAAAATGCCGAGACAAGGAAATAGACCTCAAACGAAAGAGATGGGAGAGAACAAAAGACTGGATATACAGTTCAAAACCATGGTTAGAAGGTTTTTCAAGAATTTCCTAGAAAAAGGCCGATAAATTTACAACATCAGAATTATGAGGGTGCCAGAAATAGAGAGAGTGCAAGATACTGAAAACATATTTGAAGAACTAATATCAGAAAACTTCCCCCACCTGGTGAAAGAAAGACTGACAAGCACAGGAAGCGTGCAGAACCCCAAACAAGAGGAATCCAAAGAGGAACACACCAAGACACATCTTAATTAAAATGCCAAGGGCAAAGGACAAAAAGAGGATCTTACAAGCAGCAAGAGAGAAGCAGCTGGTTACCTACAAAGGAGCACCCATACGACTATCAGCTGATTTCTCAGCAGAAACCATGCAGGCCAGAAGGGAGTGGCAAGAAATATTCAAAGTGATGAATAGCGAGAACCTACAACCAAGATTACTGTATCCAGCAAAGTTATCATTCAGAATTGAAGGGCAGATAAAGAGCTTCACAAATAAGAAAAAGTTAAAGGAGTTCACCACCACCAAACCAGTATTATATGAAATGCTGAAAAGTATTATTTAAGAAGAGGAAGAAGATCAAGTGAATTAAAAATCTGAGGAACAGAATAAAATGGTGAATATAATAGAATCAGGGGCAAAGAAAGGGAGTGGACTGATAATTATCAGGTGGAAAGGGGTGTGAGGGTGCAGAAAGAGACTGGATTAAAATCGTATAACCTATGGATGAGAACAATGGCGAGAGGGGGGGAGGTAAGGGCAGAGGGTGGGGCGAGAACTGGGTGGAAGGGAGGTATGGGGGGAAAAGGAGAAACAATTGCAATAACCTGAGAAATAAAGATTTATTTTTTTAAAAAAAGTTAGCACTTTATGAAATAAACTTTTTTTTTAAATATATTTTATTGATTTTTACAGAGAGGAAGGGAGAGAGCTAGAGAGCCAGAAACATCGATAGAGAAACATCAACCAGTCGCCTCCTGCACACCCCCATCGGGAATGTGCCTGCAACCAATGTACATGCCCCTGACCGAAATCGAACCCGGGACCCTTCAGTTCTCACACCGACGCTCTACCACTGACCAAACCGGTTTCGGCTGAAATAAACTTTTCAATTTAGAGAAAAAAAATCCTATTTGTCAAACTTAAAAAAAAAAAAAAAAAAAAGTCATTAGGATTACTTAAGATAGTTTCTCCTTTTGTAGAAAAATTATTTAGGTAAATGCACAAACATGTAAAATTCTCCACACAAGACTCAAACATCCTTTATGTACTTATCAACACAAACAAAGTCTGATAATATTCTCAAGCCAAAATACATCCTAGTTACTCCTGACACTAATGCTGCTTCAAAACCCAGAAGCTCCGTTTTAAGAAACAAAGTGAGACATAAAGCCCATGCAGTTCTTTCTCTGGTTAAATATATGAAGCTCAATTTTAGGTCAAATGTCTCCACCTACAAATCTGCACCATTCGGTGGAAGAAGACAAGGGACCAAACTCAATCCAGCCTGTCTGGCTACAATTAGCGCTGCTGATAAACGGTCTGCCGAGAAACCACACACTACTTGTCAATATCTGTTTAGGGATCTTTTATGGGTTTAATCTCTCTCCAGATCCCATTTCCGGAGAGCATTAATCAAAAGCTAGTTGTATTCAAATTCATCTTCTAGAAAAAGATAACTGATGTCTACATCCTCAGCTCTTAGTTCCTAAACCTCCTGATTAGATTTGAGGTTATCCTCCAAGACTTGGTTTGGGACTTGGGTTGGAAGCACAAAAATAAAAAGAATACTACGAAAAAGAGCTCTCCTGCCCTGGCTGGTTTGGCTCAGTGGATAAAGCATTGGCCTGGAGACTTGTGGGGGAGGAGGGGGGTGTTGAAGGTTCGATTCCAGTCAAGGGCAAATGCCGGGTTGCTGGCTCAATCCCCATTGGGGGATGTGCAGGAGGCAGCCGCTATCAATGATTCTCTCTCATCATTGATGTTTCTATCTCTCTATCTCTCCCTCTCTGCCCCTTCCTCTCTGAAATCAATATATATATATATATATATATATATATATATATATATATATATATATATATATTTTTTTTTTTTTTTTTTTTTAAGAGCTCTTTTACCAAATGCAGCCTCTATTCCTGCCTTACCCCACCCCACCCCAAATAAATGCTTGGAGAAATTCCAGAAAGTGGATTCCTCCTTTTCTCTACCTACTAAACTGATCCCATCTTACAGTGTCTCTTCATTTTTATTTTTTTTAATAAGCAGACTTTAGAATGGCAAAAAAAATAAATGTTACTACTACAATCTTCCATCCCTGGAGCAGCCTGTGAAAACTTGTTAAGATCCTTTCTCATTAAAAACTCTCATGCACACCACTGATGGGTTTCACGGACCTCCTTCATCTATCAAGACTAAAAATCCTTGCTCTAGCGGAGAGAATCATGTGCTTCTCAATAACCCTATCTCCTCCTTCAGGGAAGGGAGGCGCCCGAACATCACATCTGAAGCACAGAACAATAAAATGAAGGCTCCAGTTGCACCTGCTGTGCTAAACCACCTCTGTCAGATGCTGGTTCTGCCATTTTTCAGCAATGCTCAAAAGATTTGGGGTTGGTTTGTTTTTCCCTGACCACACTAAGTGAGTCTCATCCAAAGCCCTCCTCTCTCCTTCCTTTCTTCTTTTCCTTTTTAAGGGAACCTAGAATGTGATGGCCAAATCAATCCGTAAGTGAAGGACAAAGGTTTGCCTGAGAACAAAAGCCCACAGCGAACACTCACCCTCACCACCCCTTTCCAACTCAACATGTTCCGGACACTGTCAACCAGTGTGGCCGGAGGCCGAGAAAGAGAGAACAGAATAAGGACACTCCATTCAACGTGGTTTTTTTTTGTCTGGGGCACTTCCTGGGCTTTTTCATTGGCATTTAACACCAAGGTACAAGGCTCGTTTTTCATTAAAGTTGCAAGACTTTCACTTTGCCCCGTTTCAAATGGTGTAATTGATCTGCATTGTCTTCTTAAATAACCCAACCCAAGGACACTGCAGCTTTAAATATTTCAGTGCGAACTAGCAAAGAGACTCCATTGCAATATGGCTCTGAAGGTCGTGTCCTATTGTCTCTTTCCTCTGGAAAAAAAAAAAAAATTTTTTTTTCTAAGTCCTCCTTCTAGGTAACATAAGGAAGGGTTACCCCCCCTAGAATTTCCACTCTTCATCTCTGCCTCTGATAAGAGTTCCGATGGTGACTGGAACCTCACACTCATCATTTTCCTGGCAGGGGCAATATGCTGATTGCTATTAAGAGATGCCAGCACCTTTTAGCAAGACATAAACACATGTGTTCACATTAGTTTAATTGGGCGTATGCAACTGTCTGAAACAGCACCGCGCACGGGCTTCCTCATCTCTCCTCGAGGAGGGCCGGGGTGCTTTTAGGGGTGGACGGCAGGCAGCGGCGGCCGGCACTCTGCACCCTGGAGCCCCAAATTGCATCACTTGAAATGGGCAGCTACCTAAACCGACCAACCAACCGGGGAATCTCCGCCTACTCATCCTGGGACGATGCAGGCACCCTGCCACACACCTGCAGCATTTACTTGTCAAAGAAGGTCAAAACAAGAGGCATTAAAAAAGCTGAAAGGGAAAAAAATTTAACGAAAGGGGGGGAAAGGCCCTTTTCTATCTTGTCAAGGTGCAGAAACACGTCTCTTTGGACAGTCCTAGCGTCCCCCCCATCCCGGAGCCCGGGAGCGGAATGGCCCCAGGGAACTGGATGGAGGTTTCGGAAGTGGGGTGAAGGCAAGGGGCAATCAGCGGGCTAATGGAAGGCAGGGGAGAAGGGGCCAGGGAGGGAAGCGGGGGGGGGGGGGGGGAGAGGAGGCGGGCAGGGCGCTGGTGCGCCTGGAGCCTTACCTGGAATGGCAACAGATTGTTGCCATTGTCGGTGCGGAAGGCGTTGTCCTCCATCCAGGACTTGGAGGGCAGCGGGGCGGCGCGGGGGAACTTGGGCGGCGCGATCACGCTGCTGGAGAAGGGCTTCTTGAGCGGCGAGATGGGGTTGAGCGGCGAGGGCACCCCGACGCCCACGCCCACGCCCACGCCGACCGCGCGGCGGGGGTCGCGGCCGGCGGGCAGGCCGCCCCACGGGGCGGAGGGCGCGCTCCAGGCGGCGGCGCTCACGCCCTGGTGCGCGCTCCAGCCGGACGAGGCGGACGCGGCGGCGGCGGCGGCGGCGGCCGCGGCGGCCGAGGACGAGGACGGCTTGCTGGTCATGATGGGCTGGTGGCCGTACGCCGCGGCGGCGGCGGCGGCGGCGGCGGCGGCGGCGGCGCTCCGGGGCGCGAAGGGCGCCTGGCTGGGGCTGGCGGGCGAGCGGCGCTGCGGCGGGGGCTGCGGCGCCGGCTGCGGGGGCTGCGGCGCGGGCTGCGCCGGGGGCTGCGGGGGCTGCGGCTGCGGGGCGGACGGCGGCGGCGGCGGCGGCTGCTGCTGGTGGTGCTGGGTCTGCGCCAGGCCGATCTGCGGGGAGAAGGTGCCCCCGAAGACGGGGTTGACGTGGTGCGGGAAGTTCTGGAAGAGCATGGTCCCGTTGACGGGGGCGATCCCCTGGAAGAAGCTGTCCTCCACCGCGTTCGTGGTGCCCGTGGACCAGGTGCTGCCGAAGGACGGCGACAGCGGCGACGCGCCGGGCGCCGCGGCGGGGTCCTGCGGCGGCGGCGGCGGCGGCTGCTGCTGCGGGGGCTGGTGGAAGCTCAAGCCCGGCAGGAGCGGCGACTCCAGCTGCATCTTCTCGGGGCCGTTGGGGGCCGGCGGGGCCGCCGCGGCGGGGCTGCTGTCGTCCGGCGTGGGGGTCTCCGAGGAGAGGGGCGTGGACGGGGCGTCGGCTGCGCTGGGCTCGGGCTGGGGCTGGGGCTGCTGCTGCTGCTGCTGCTGCTGCCGCTGCTGCTGGGGCTGGGGCTGGGTTTTGCTTTTGTCCATCAGTAAATCATCCTGCATGGTTTGCGCAGCTGAAACGGGAAGAAAGAGAGGCGCGTTAGGGTCAACGTGAGCGTGAATGCCCCTCGCCGAGGCGGGCGGGTGTTTTGCTTGCGAAAATCCAGCGCCTCCGCTAACTAGCCAATTGCAATGCAAATCCATAATCTCCCATTTGGAAGAGCAGGTCGGGCTGGGGTTGGGAGGAGGCTCGCCGCGCAAGGTCTCTTGAAAAAAAAAAAAAAAATACGGGGAGAGCGTCTTCACCCTTTCTGAGGTCTCGGTTCCCTTTCTGGATTAGGGAGAGAGGTGCTTGTAAGACAGAGAGACAAGCAATTTCGCCACGTCTCTTTTTTTCCTTTCCCCCCCCCCCCCCCTTCACCGGAACTCGGAGCGTTCGCCCTGCAATGAGAAACTGATTCTGGTTCCTGTTTTTTCCCAAGCGCCACCCTCCCCTGGCTATTTGCATACGTCAATAAATACTGCTGCGTCCTTCACAAGGTTAAAGAGACACCGCGCGACCCTTTCTCCCCCCCCCCCCCCCACCCCTTTCCTGGATTCTGACACTTTAAAGAAACAGCAGCCCCATCCCTCTTGATTAGCAAACTGCCTTCTAGCGTTGGTAATTGTTTCATTTAGCAGCAGCAGCGAACCACGAGGGAGGAAATCCTTGGCATGTGCGAAGAGGAGGAGGAGGAGGAGGAGGACTCAGCTGCACAATCGTTCTCTGGCCTCCCAGGAGCTGCAGCAGCACTCCATTTTGTTAGGAGACAGAAAAAAGAAAAGAAAAGGAAAAAAGGCCCACACCGTTTTTTTTTAAAGAGGTAAAAATCTCCTGAAGCCTTTGGAAGTGCTTCCTTCTTGTGACTCTCTGAGGATTAGGGATTTTCTGCTTATTCTCCAATTTTCTGGTCTCCCAATTCTGCCTCACAAGAGATTTTTGGCATCTCAAGTGGTTCAGGTCTCAACAGGAGCCTGAGCATTTCTCTGCAGAGTGAAGAAATGTTCTAGTTGTATTTGAGGGGAGAGGGGAGAGGGGAAAAAGGAGAGAGGAGAGAGAGAGAGAGGCTGGCAGACACTGAATGTGAGATAGGGTGGGGCTTTAAAAAAAAAAATCCTCTGGGGAGGAAAAAAAAGAAAAGTAAAAAATCCTTCTGGGATTTAAGTAGAAAGTCAGGATAATTCTGGAGTTGCCAGATTGTCATTTTTGAATCCTCCTGCTGCTGCCTCGGTCACAAGACTTAAGCAAATTTAGAATACACTCTCTTATCACTAGTATTAGCAGTGAAAGATTATGGCTTGAAGACCCTGAATTACCATATGCTAGCAAAAGTGTTAAAAATAGCAGAGTACAAAGTCTCAAATTCTCATACATTGTAATTATAGTGCATTGCCATCACGGCTTCATTTAGCCATATAAGGAGAGTATGGTATTTTCCATTTCGAATAGGATTATATTCACCCCTGCCTACTGCCTATTTTCTCATTCACAGACCATATTCACCTCTGCCTATGGCCTGTTTTCTCATTCATGGGTGAAAATAGTAATCACTCAAAACCAGATTACCATACATATAGTTATCACTGAGCTAGCCTGTCCCTTGGAACATGTTAACTGTATTAACTATATTCATATTACAGTGCTGACACCCTGGAAACTAATATTTTGGAATTTTAAAGATGCATGTGACCAAACATATATTTTCGATGAGGATTCAGTATAATTGCAACAAAAGTTAGGAATGTATTTAACGCAGTTAATGAATTCAGATACAGAGAAGAATTTTCTCAGGGCACTTGTGAAAGGGCATTCAAATACAGGCAGAAGCTCGGCCTTCGGGCACCCTCATACTCCTCATTGTTGTAAAATAAATGTATTGGAAATGGAGGTGCTACTGCTCTTAACTATTAAACAAAATTATGTCCAACCAAGAAACAGGATTAAAAATAGTTCCATTTTATTAAAGACTATGTTTAAAATGATTATGTCTAATACGGGGTTGTACACTTGAAATAAATATCATATTGTACATCAACTTTTTTTTTATTTTGTAATTCAAAAATAAAAAAAGTAGGCATGGTTTGTCTTTCATTTTAAAGTTCCATACACAGACAAAACAGCGGGCTCAAGGAAATGCTTCCAGCCACCTCACTCTCCTTTTCTACTCCTTTCCTATCTCCCTCTCCCCCCTCCCCTGAAAAAGAACCCAACCCAGGATGACAAACATCACAAATTGCCAGCTACTACCAATAAAATCTACTTAAGATTGATTTTTATGATCCTCAGTTCCCCTGGTCTAAAACAATGCTTTGATCGGTATTGAAAAAATAGGACACAAAGAAGCGGGTGAAGCCGGGATCCACGCCGCCAAGTTCTATTGCTACCGAAGGGAATGGTGACAGAAAGAGAAAGAGACATTTTCATACTTGGTTGAAGCAGGGCTGCAGCAAACCATTCTAATCTGGGATTTAAGATGCTTCCCGTGGGTTAGATTGTCTTTACAATAGCCCTATCATCATGGCTGAAATAGGCAGTTGATTTCTAATTTCAATATCACAGCTGTTCTGATGCTTGTACCAATGCTTTTTGTTCATACTTTCAGCATAAACTATATGCTCTTGGTGGAAAATAGAATGCTGTACGACAGAAAAAAAGAAAAGAAAAAAAAAAAGGCTGAAAAGTAAGCTGCACTCAGAATGTTTTACAAAGGCTGTAATTAATATTAACACATTGATTGGATTTTAAAATGTTTATCATACCATGAACACCCCTCTCTCTTCTCAACACCCTCAAAAGATATAAATTTCACTTTCTGTATAAATTCACTCTGTCAAGGTCAAGACCCATCTTTACTAAATAAGACCCTTTAAACGAAAGGTAAACAATAGGTTAAGATAACATTCACAAAGTTAATATGCACTTCTGCTTCATAGTTTGTTTTGGTTGGACCCAGGGTTTTTTTTGTGTGTGTTTTTTTTCGGTTTTCTTTTTTCTTTTTCTTTTTTTCTTATTTACAGCAAAGTCCGAGAAATAGATACCTCCTCCTTCCCCTCCCCCCACCACACACACACACACCACACACAATAGATCTTCCTTCACATGCAATCACCCAACCTCAAGTAACAAATTCTTAGCAGCGGTTACCTTTGAGTGTCCAGTGTTTAAGGATCGATAAAATGTAAAAGTGTACAGTATTTTATTTTCTTCTTTCAGGCTGATTATGTGACCGCTCTGGCAAAAGCACTTTGACAACTGTGAGGAGAAAGGGCATGCGCGCACAGGGAACTGTGGGGGCTGGAGTCCTTCACAAGGTGCCCAGCCCGGCGGAGGCACGTCCAGCCGGGAAAGGAGGAGAGGCTGTACCCAGCGCCCATTGTATCTCCCTAGCCGATCTAAATCGCGAGTGGTTGAAATGAAAAAAAGAGAGAAAAAAATAAAAAAATAAAATGGCTTGTCAGCTTGTTTTAGGAAGCCAGGTTTAAAAGAGAAACTGGATTGTAGGGCTCAAAATAAACCCAGCAGAGAGAGCTACCTTAAATGGTATTAGAATGGTAATGACTAGATAGCCAGCAATGGGAACCCTAAACAGAGCAAAAGGGACTGGGGTGGGGAGGGATAAGAAAAGGAGGGGGACTGATAAGGAAAGATAAATACTTAAAATCTGACCATGTCAAACACACACACACACACACACACACACACACACACCTTTTTAACATTATAGGATGAAAAATACCTTAATATGAAATGTGGTATTAACTTTGGAGGTCAGGTGAAAGTAAGTTTCAGTCACAAATTTCTGGCATCTTATCGACCAAGATTTCTTTGATGTTGAGTTTTCAGATAGTCTCTGAATCAACTCACCTCCTTATTTTTCTTGTCAAAATGAAAGTTTACCTTGCATTACTCATATAATGCTCAAATAAAATTCAACTCTTTTACGTTAAAGTAATATCTGATGAAATATTTAAAATATTAAAAAAAACATGTTTACTGTTTCACTGCATGGTCAGTGACTTTTGTATTTGACAGACAGTAAATACAGTTTCTATTTTTTGTTTTTAATGTTCAGTGTGGCGGGCCGGTGTTGCTCAGTAGTTGAATGCTGAGCCACGAACCAGGAAGTCACCATTCGGTTCTGGTCAGGGCACATGCTCAGGTTTCAGGCTGGAGCCCCAAAAGGGGGAGTGCAGGAGACAGCTGATCAATGATTGACTCTCATCATTGATGTTCCTATCTCTCTCTTCCTCTCCCTTCCTCTCTCTGAAATCAATAAAAATATATATTTATATACATATTTTTTTAAGTTTCAGTGTACATTTTTCCTAGTTTAACATCATGACTCCAAGGCTAGAATCTCACAACATATCAACATCAAACACTGTTATCTTTAGGTTCTGAAAGCGATAGTTCAACTACCAGTTTGTTCATGTAGAGTGTAGACAGAAGATATTATATCTTGTGGTATTTGGTTCAATAACATTCGCCCAAGGGGTTCACAGTAAATGTCAGTTGATAACTCTGCTGATTGAAATTGGAACTAAAAATGTTAAGCAGACCCAGCTGATTTTGCTCAGTGGTTAGAGTATTGGCCTGAGGACCGAAGGGTTGCAGTTTCAATTCCTGGTCAAGAGCATGAACCTCAGTTGCAAGTTTGCCAGCCCTCGTGGGGACATGTGTGGAAGGCAACCAATCGATGTGTCTCTCTCACATGATCTCTCTCTCTCTCTCTCTCTCTCTCAATCTCTTTTTCACACACACACACACACACACACACACACACACTCCTTCCCTTCCACTCTCTCTCTAGAAATCAATGTAAAAAATATCCTCTGATGAGGATTTAAAAAAATAAACATTTGTTTCTAAATGTTAAGCAAAAAAGAACTATATACATATATGCATAACCATGGACACTGACAATAGTGTGGTGAAGGCCTGCAGGTGCAGGGCAGAAGGAGTCAATAGGTAGAAAAAGGGGACATCTGTAATACTTTCATCAATAAAGAGAAATTTTAAAAAT